GGACACAGCATTCCAAGTGTGGTCTTACCCAGTGCAGTATAAATCCGCCCTAATACTTTACAAGATCTTGATACTATCTCTCTGTTGATGAGGTTGACAACATCAAATCAACTGGCTGTACAAAATACAGATAAGAACTAGGGACGCACCTTGTACATATACCGAGGCTGTGGACAGCTCGTCTCCAGTGCTGCACGTGTATGATCCACAATCCTCCGGTTCCACGTCATGGATGATCAGCTCAACCGTGGTGCCCCTCTGCTTCATCTCGTACTTGGCGCCGGGCCGCAGAATGAGGGACCCTTTCCGCCACTCAATGGGTGTGTCGGGACTTGAGATCTTGCCACACAGGACAGCTTTCCCTCCGGTTTCCAACTCAATGTTCTGTAATCCTTCTTCAAAAAAGATGGGTAACACTACCAGGGAGAAATGAAACAAAAGTGTTGTGATGCCTCCAAAGCCCTTTGCAGACATTAAATGATACCTCTACAGGTTTGGTTTTTTTTGTGTCAGAAGCATCACAATGAAAATAAGGCATACTACAGATAGTCCTCAACTTATGACCTAAATTCAGCCCCAAATTTTTGTTGCTTAGAGAGACATGTGAGATTTGCCCTATTTTATGACTTTTTTGCCACCATTGTTAAGTGAACCACTGCAGTTGTTAAGTTAGTAACATGTTTGCCGAGTGAATCTGGCTTCCCCATTGACTTTGCTTGTCAGAAAAGGGGATCACCTAACCCCAGAACACCACAACTGTCATAAGTAAGAGTCAGTTGCCAAGTTTCCAAATTTTGATCACCTGACCATGGGAATGCTGCAACGGTTGTAAATGTAAAAAATGGCCATAAGTCACTTTTTTCAATGACAATGTAACTTTGAACCATCACTAAGTCAAGGACATAAAATTTAAAAAATAAAATACAAGATTAAAATATGTACAAGCTAAACAGATTTTGCCCATAAACATCATTTGTGTTCTGCCATGCTGCCGTGAGGTCCTTAAGTGAACACCAATCAGGGCCCAAATGTGTTGTTGTCTTCATGTCACCACAATCTCAAAGAGCAGAAGCGACTGGATAGCCCCATTTGTACAGATTATCTCTGGATCTTGTTGTACCTGTGCTCAGTCTATAGGTAGTCCTCAAATTACAGCCGTTTGTTTAGCACTAAAGTTAATCAAAGTTACAACAGCACTGAAAGGAGTGATGGATGACTGGTCCTCACACTTATGACTGTCACAACATCCATACCAAAATTGGGTGCTAGGCAACAGGCAAATATTTACAAAAGTTGCAACAACCCATGGTCCCATTTATCACCATTTATGATCTTCCTAGCTGGCTTCCAATAAGCAAAATCATTGGGGGAAGCAGATTTGCTTAATGATTACTTGATTTACTTAACAGTCTCACTGGTTCACTTAACAACCCTGACAAAAAAGGTTATAGAATAGGCTTGACTCACTTAACAACTATCAAGCTCAGCAGTGGAAATCCTGGTACCAATTGTGATTGTAAGTTGACGACTATCGGTATAATTCCCATCAAATTCATACATTGGAGAAAACAACCAAACTCAGAGAGCACAAAAGACTTCACAGTTCAACCCCAAGCTACAAATACTCTATAGAGCAGGGGTGTCAAACTCAATTTCATTGAGGGCCGCATCAGCATTGCGGTTGCCCTTGGGGGGCCAGGTGGGTGTGGCCAGGATGGGTGCGGCCTACTGGGTGGGCGTGGATGGAGTGGGTGTGGCCTACTGAGTGGGCATGGCCAGATCTACCTCGTTCGTGTCAAGGGTACCTATGGGGGGGCTGGGCAGGAGTGGGACAGATCTGAGGGTCTCTGGCAGAAGGGGGTGGGACCGGGGCAAACGCCAAGGCATGGTCCATTTCTTCATTCCTCACAGAGGGTGACACCTCCCCAGCATGCACCCAGGGGGCGGGGGCGACGCAGCAGGGGCTGGTTCCTCACTGTTTTAGAGGGCCTTATGGAGCTAAGACTGAATGCGTTTCAGCACAGATGGCCACCACAAAATTGTACATTGGCTCCCGGCCGGCCTGGGCCGGGGCCAAGGCAGAGGGGGCCGTTCCCTCACTGTTTCCAGGATGGCTTCGCAGGCCACATGAAACCACTTTGCGGGCCTCATCCGGCCCCCGAGCCTTATGTTTGATATGTCTGCTGTAGATGTCGCTGGAAGTTGCGCAACATTCCCTACCTTTGACCTTCACGGTGGCAGTGGTCTGCTGGTCTCCTGAATGGCAGGTATAATCGCCGTCGTCCTGAACTTCCAGATCATAAATGAGAAGCTCGGCAAAGTTCCCTTCTTGTCTGATCTCATACTTCTCACTCAACTGAAGCTTGGTGTTTCCTTTTTTCCATACCACAGGTACCATCGGCTTGGACAACTCACAACACAAGGACACAGTGTTCCCTACTTCAACCTCCTTGCTCTGTAAACCTCGCTTGAAGAGCACCGGCAAAGCTGAAAGAGAGGCAGACACTAAAAGAGACCTTGTTGAGTGACAGCCCACCAACCAGATCACAGAATAACAGAGTGGGAAGGCACATTCGAGGTCTTCTAGTCCAACCCCCTCCTCAAGCAGGAGACCCTATACCATTTCAGACAAATGGCTGTCCAGTCTCTTCTTAAAACCCTCCAGTGATGGAGCACCCACAACTTCTGGAGACAAGTCGTTCCACTGATTAATTGTTCTCACTGTCAGGAAATTTCTCCTTAGTTCCAGGTTGCTTCTCTCCCTGATTTGTTTCCATCCATTGTTTCTTGTCTTGTTTTCTGGTGCTTTGGAGAATAGAATCATAAAATAACAGAGTTGAAGGATACCTTGGAGATCCTCTAGTAGTCCAACCCCCTGCTCAAACAGGAGACCCTATACCATTTTAGACAAATGGCTGTCCAATCTTTTCTTGAAAACCTCCAGAGATGGAGCACTCACAACTTCTGGTGGCAAATTGTTCTCACTGTCAGGAAATTTCTCCTTAGTTCTAGGTTGGTTCTCTCCTTGATTAGTTTCCATCTGTTGCTTCTTGTTCTGCCTTCAGGTGCTTTGGAGAATAACTTGACTCCCTCTTCTTTATGGCAGCCTCTCAAATACTGGAACATTGCTATCATGTCACCCTAGTCCTTCTCTTCATTAAACTAGACATACCCAATTCCAGCAACCGTTCTTTATATGTTTTAGCCTCCAGTCCCCTGATCATCTTTGTTGCTCTTCTCTGCACTCTTTCTAAAGTCCCAACATCTTTTTTCTGTCGTGGCGACCAAACCTGCATGCTGTATTCCAGGTGTGGCCTTACCAACTGCAGTGATTCGCTTAACAAATGTGGCAAAAAAGTCGTAAAATGGGCCAAAACTCGCTTAACAAATTTCTCACTTAACAACATAAATTTTGGGCTCAATTATGATCATAGGTTGAGGAGTACCTGTAGTTCTCCAATGGCTACACTCACCTTTAACTTTTAGCTTGGCGGTGGTTTTCTTGTCAGCTGCAATGCAGATATATTCTCCTGAGTCTTCTGGGACCACATCATGGATGATCAAAGTGTAGGCATTGCCTTCAATCTTAACTTCAAACTTCTGGCTGGGCTGGATCAGGGATGATCCCTTTCTCCACTCCACTGGGATCCCAGGTTTGGAAAGCTCACAGCGGAAGGTTGCCATGCCGTTTTCGTCTATTTCTGCATTCTCCAGTTTTTTTAGGAAGGTTATTGGTGCAACTACAGAGAGGCAGAAGAGACTTTTATTGAGCATATAGACTGTAAAAGTCATCTCCAATGTACAGGTAGACTTCAACTTACAACAATTTGTTTAGTGAACGTTTCAAAGTTATAATGGCTTTGAAAAAAGTTACTTATGACTTTTCACACAACCATTGCAACACCCCTAATGTCACATGATCAAAATTCAGAAGCTTCGCAAGTGACTCATATTTGTGATGGTTGCAGTCATGTGGTCTATTTTGGTAACATTCTGACAAGCAAAGTCAACGAGGAGAGGCAGATTCATTTAGCAAATAAGTTACTAACTGAACTACAGTAATTCACTTAACAACTGTGGCAAGAAAGTTTGTAAAATGAGGCAAATTTCACTTAACAAATTTCTCATAAATTTTGGGCTCGATTGTGGTCATAGGTCATGGACTACCTATACAATATAAGAGCTGTAATGGCCACTGTGTAGGACAACCAGGCAAAAGATCGCAAAATGCATCCATCAACACCAACAGCCCTTCAGAAGACACAATGAAAACTCCTTAATTGGACACAGTAACTGGGAAAATATCAGCATCCTAGAACAAGCCAAGCCCCCAAATGCTAGAGAATTCTTGGAAGACTGGCATTCAGACAAATTGGCCATCAACAGGCACAATGAGATAAAGGACATCTACACACCATTCAAAAGTGAGGATCAAAAAGCTAAACGATCACAATAACTCCTTGCCAGCAATCAATTCTCAGATGAGCCAAAATTAATAACAAGGTTGACACTGGATCAAAAATCAAGAAGTAAACAATGCCCCAATCAAGGAAATATCAACTCAGACAAACTAGCTATTAGTAAATAACAGCCTAATCAAGAAATCACCAAGAACATTACACTGGCAGGGTAAACCACTTGTATATAAAGAGAGAGAGAGCAACCCCAGTCCCTTCAAGCATTGATGACGCTACCTAATTGGGTTAGGGTTAGAGTTAGGGTGAAATGTCTGCTAGAAAACAACAAAGTTCAGTCCATTGTCATGGACTCCACAGTTGTTCTCTTCCTCCCCCTCCCTCTCCCCCTCTCCCTTCCTTCCTTCCCTTCCTTCCTTCCTTCCTTCCTTCCTTCCTTTCCTCCTCCTCCTCCTCCTACTACTACTATTACTACTACTACTACTATCGTGATTGCCAACCTCATCTTGATTTTTTTTGATCCACATCTTCCCATGGTTGTACCTGTGGAAGATCAAGGTCCATCTGAACGACTGACTAACTTACCTTGCACCAATAACTGAGCCTGTGTTGAATTCTGACCAACTTGGAAACTGATGGTGCTGGAGTCTTCAAGGGTGACTTTTCGGAGAATGAGCGTGTGAATTTTGCCTTCCATGGCAATTTGGTTCATTTCATTGGATTGCAGAGGCACACCTGCCAAACTCCATTGCACATTTTTGGCCTTCTCACAAGAAACCACACAGCGAAACATAGCATCCTCTCCTTCAAGAAGGGTGAGGTCTTTCAATTTTTCTTCTATGGTGGCTGGTATTTCTACAATTCAAAGAGAGAAGTTTTTATTTCATTTGTTTCCCTGGGAATTTACATCCCATTGTTACATCCTGCTATATTTTTGCAGACGTTTCATGACCCAATTAGTTAATATCATCAGTGCTGCAAGGAAGTGGGGATTGCAGA